TGTATTATATATACATAATTATTATATTATGTTATATTATAATGGTATTATATTGTTATAAGTATATTGTTAGAATCGTAGTATATTATTATAATTATATTATATATAATATTTACTATTCTATTTTATTATAATTGTATTATATATACATAATTATTACATTATATTATAATTGTATTATATTGCTATAGTTATATTGTTATTAGAATTGTAGTGTATTATTATAATTATATTATATATAATATTATTCTATTCTATTATTATAATTATATATAACATTTACTATTCTATTTTATTATTTTATCATTATTGTATTATATATACATAATTATTATATTATGTTTTATTATAATGGTATTATATTGTTATAACTACATTGTTAGAATCGTAGTATATTATTATAATTATATTATATATAATGTTTACTATTCTATTTTATTATAATTGTATTACATATATATACATAATTATTACATTATGTTATATTATAATTGTATTATATTGCTATAGTTATATTGTTATTAGAATTGTAGTGTATTATTATAATTATATTATATATAATATTCTATTTTATTATAATTGTAGTATATTGTTATAATTATATTGTTATTATAATTATAATTGTGTTATATTATTATAATTATATTATATATAATATTATTCTATTTTATTATAATTGTGGTATATTGTTATAATTATATTGTTATTATAATTATAATTGTGTTATATTATTATAATTATATTTTATATAATATTACTGTTCTATTTTACTATAACTGTATTATATATGCATAATTATTATATTGTTATATTATAATTGTATTAAATTGCTATAATTATATTGTTATTATAATAATAACTGTATTATTGACTGTATTATATATGCATAAATATATTATGTTATATTATAATGGTATTAAATTGCTATAATTATATTGTTATTATAATAATTGTATTATTGACTGTATTATATATGGATAAATATATTATGTTATAATTGTATTAAATTGCTATAATTATGTTGTTATTATAATAATAATCGTGTTATATTATTATAATTATATTTTATATAATATTACTGTTCTATTTTATTATAACTGTATTATATATGCATAATTATTATATTATGCTAAATTATAATTGTATTAAATTGCTATAATTATATTGTTATTATAATAATAATTGTATTATTGACTGTATTATATATGCATAAATATATTATGTTATATTATAATTGTATTAAATTGCTATAATTATATTATTATAATAATAATTGTATTATTAACTGTATTATATATGCATAAATATATTATGTTATATTATAATGGTATTAAATTGCTATAATTATGTTGTTATAATAATAATTGTATTATATTATTATAATTGCTATTATGATTATAATACATGACATTATGCAACACAATTTTTGTTCGTGGGTTATATATATCTCTTCCTAATTGGTTTCTATCATAACAATCACCGCAACAAAGCAAACGTCAGGCAGATGAAGTTGGACACTGAAGTTCCCCTGAATTTGATGCAGATTTATTTATGACTCAAATCAATTCATATTTATGACTCAAATCAAATAAATAAATAAATCCAAATAAATTCAAATAAATCAAATAAATTCAAATTTATGACTCAAATCAATTCATAGAACCCTAGAATTGGGAGAGACCTCATGGGCCATCTCTTCCGAAAACCCCAATTTCCCATGCAAGAAAAACACATTGAAAGTGACCTTCTGATTTTCTCTTTTTGTTTGCATTTTGAATAATAAGTGGTGATATCTCTGCCATTTTTTGTGTGCTGGGTTCCCCTTATTCTCACGATCTCGTGGCCTGTCCTTTCTTCTCCAGGCTTAGCCTTTATCACGGGACGCCGAGGGCCCTTTTGCACCCGCTGATCCAAGAACCGCTCACGAGTAAGTCCTTTTCTCCACACATCGTTTTATTTATGGAAGATGTCAGATTTGGAGTGCCTCTGGTGTTGCCGCAAGGAGGTCCTCCATTGTGCATGTGGCAGGGCTCAGGTTGCATTGCAGCAGGCGGTCAGTGGTTTGCTCCTCTCCGCACTCGCATGTTGTGGATTCCACTTTCTTGAGGTTGGCTCTGCATCTCGGGGTGCCAGAGCGCAGTCTGTTCAGCGCCTTCCAAGTCGCCCAGTCCTCTGTGTGCCCAGGGGGGAGTCTCTCATCTGGTATCACCCACGGATTGAGGTGCTGGGTTTGAGCCTGCCACTTTTGGACTCTCGCTTGCTGAGGTGTTCCAAGATCTAAGAAAACTATGTTTTGATTTAAGTCGTTGACGTGCTGGCTGATACCCAAACAAGGGATGAGCTGGAGATGTCTCTGCCTTGGTCCTTTCACTATTGGCTGCTACTTCCCGGCGGATGTCAGGTTGTGCAATACCGGCTAAGCAGTGTAATTTCTCCAGTGGTGTGGGGTGCAGACACCCCGTGATGATGCGGCATGTCTCATTAAGAGCCACATTTATTTATTTATTTATTTACGACATTGATATGCTGCCCTTTTCACCCCGAAGGGGACTCAGAGCGGCTCACAAGGTATATATATACATACAATATATTATTAACATAGTACAATATCAGTTTTAAATATTGCTATATTGCACTATATCAATTATACTGTAATATTATTAGTAATATTACATGTTATATAAATATATAATTATAATATCATATTATTATTAGGAGTAGTATTATATTGTTATTAGAATTATAATTCTATTATATTAATTATATTATATATAATATCTATTATTCTATTTTATTACTTTATTATAATTGTATTATATTGCTACAATTATATTGTTATTAGAATTATAATTCTATTATATTATTATAATTATCTATAGTATTTATTATTCTATTTTACTATTTTATTATAATTGTTATATATACATAATTATTATATTATGTTATATTATAATTGTATTATATTGTTATAATTATATTGTTATTAGAATTATAATTATTATAATGTTATATATATATATATATTATAATTATATTATATACACATAATTATTATATTATGTTATAATATTGCACTATATCAATTATACTGTAATATTATTATTAATATTACATGTAATATAAATAGATAATTATAATATCATATTATTATTAGTAGTAGTATTATATTGCATTACATTACAATATTATAAATATTATATGTATATACAATATATTATATATTATATTATAACATATTATTAGAATAGCACAGGAGACAAGGTGGAATTGTCCCCTGGCCTCCCCTCTCTTCGCTCCGGTCTAGAGTGGCAGTTGGTGCTGGGGGGAGGGGTCCCCAACGGATGGCAAATGCAGGAGACAAGATGGTGCTGTCCCCTGGCCTCCCCTCTCTTCGCTCTGGCCCAGAGCGGCAGTTGACATCTACTGTTTTACCGTGGTGAGATGTGTTCCACACTGGGCATGCGTACTCAGCAGCAAGGGCAGATGTCTTCACTGTGTCTGGTTGTGATCCCCAGGTTGTGCCAGTCAGCTTTCGTATGATGTTGTTTCTACCGCCCACTTTTTGCTTGATGTTCAGGCAGTGCTTCTTGTAGGTCAGAGCACGGTCCAGGGTGACTCCCTGGTCTTTGGGTGCGCTGCAATGCTCCAGTGGGATTCCTTCCCAGGTAATAATCTTCAGAGCTCGGGATGCTTTCTCTGTTCTTGAGATGAAAGGCACATGTCTGTGTTTTAGATGGGTTAGGGATCAGCTGGTTTTCCCTGTAATAGGCAGTAAGAGCACCTAGAGCTTCGGAAAGCTTCTGTTCAACCATCTCAAAGCTCCCTGCTTGAGCGGTGATGGCACGATCATCAGCATAGATGAAGCTCTCTGTCCCTTCTGGCAGTGGCTGGTCATTTGTGTAGATGTTGACATGGATGGAGCAAGCACGCTCCCCTGAGGCAGGCCGTTCTTCTGTTTCCGCCATCTGCTTCTCTGGCCCTGGAACTCAACAAAAAAGCTCCTGTTTTGTAGCAGGTTTCCTATGAGGAGGGTGAGGTGGTCGTCCTTTGTGATAATAATAATAATAATAATAATAATAATAATAATAATAATGTGATTTTGTGATATGAAATCTAGCATAGAGATCTCATTTTCTGGGACATACTGTGTTTTTGTGTCAGAATAATAATAATAATAATAATAATAATAATAATAATAATAATGTGATTCTATTGTGACTTGTGATTTTGTGATACGAAATCCAGCATAGAGATCTCGTTTTCTGGGACATACTGTGTTTTTGTGTCAGTAAAATAATAATAATAATAATAATAATAATAATAATAATAATAATAATGTGATTTTGTGATACGAAATCTAGCATAGAGATCTTGTTTTCTGGGACATACTGTGTTTTTGTACAGAATAATAATAATAATAATAATAATAATAATAATAATAATAATAATAATGTGATTTTGTGATACGAAATCCAGCATATATATATCTCATTTTTCTGGGACATACTGTGTTTTTGTGTCAGTAAAATAATAATAATAATAATAATAATAATAATAATAATAATAATATGATTTTGTGATACGAAGTCCAGCATATATATATCTCGTTTTCTGGGACATACTGTGTTTTTGTGTCAGTAAAATAATAATAATAATAATAATAATCTATATATATAAATTTGTTAGGGGCATCCAACGAGGAAACAAAACTCAAAAACCCCCCAACGAAACTTAACCAAAATTCCCATGCCCATAACACAACCCACAAGGTACAAACATATCTACTCAAAATGAAAAACAACACAACAACACACTCACAAAACGGCAAAAAAACAAAAAAACTCAAAAAAACCCCAACGAAACTTAACCAAAATTCCCATGCCCATAACACAACCCACAAGGTACAAACATATCTACTCAAAATGAAAAACAACACAACAACACACTCACAAAACGGCAAAACAACAAAACTCAAAAACCCCCCAACGAAACTTAACCAAAATTCCCATGCCCATAACACAACCCACAAGGTACAAACATATCTACTCAAAATGAAAAACAACACAACAACACACTCACAAAACGGCAAAACAACAAAACTCAAAAAAACCCCAACGAAACTTAACCAAAATTCCCATGCCCATAACACAACCCACAAGGTACAAACATATCTACTCAAAATGAAAAACAACACAACAACACACTCACAAAACGGCAAAACAACAAAACTCAAAAAACCCCAACGAAACTTAACCAAAATTGCCATGCCCATAACACAACCCACAAGGTACAAACATATCTACTCAAAATGAAAAACAACACAACAACACACTCACAAAACGGCAAAAGGATAAAACTCTAAAAAACCAACGAAACTTAACCAAAATTCCCATGCTCATAACACAACCCACAAGGTACAAACATATTACTCAAAATGAAAAACAACACAACAACACACTCAAAACGGCAAAAAAACAAAACTCAAAAAAACCCCAACGAAACTTAACCAAAATTCCCATGCCCATAACACAACCCACAAGGTACAAACGTATCTACTCAAAATGAAAAACAACACAACAACACACTCACAAAACGGCAAAACAACTGAGCATGCGCATTGGCGCCCAGCCGCAAGTTCCCTGGCGCGCGCACATGCCCTTCCGGCCAACGTTCCCTCTGCGGAAACCATGCCCACTCCAAGCCCCGCCGCGCCGCTTCCCGCACACACACACACCCCTGCCGCACATACACACACAACCCCACACTCCATCACTCCCCCCACCGCCGCACACACACACGCAACCCCACACTCCATCACTTCCCCCGCCGCCGCACGCACACACGCAACCCCACTCCCCCCGCCGCCGCACACACACACACAACCCCACGCTCCATCACTCCCCCCCGCCGCACACACACACACAACCCCACGTTCCATCACTCCCCCACCCCAATCTTACCTCCTTTTACTTCACGCCACCTCCAAACCCCACCCGCCCCTTCCCGCCCTGTCAAAATCTAGGAAAGACAGGAAGGAAGGAAAGAAGGAAGAAAGAGAAAGGGAGGTAAAGAAAAAGGGGGAAGGAAGGAAAGTTAGAGAAAGAAGGAAGAAGAAAAGGAAAGAAAAGGAAAGATGGAAGGAAAGAAAAGAGAGACAGCAGAAGAGAAAGAAAAAGGGGGAAGGAAGGAAAGAGGTAGAGAAAGAAGAGGAGAAGGAAAGATGGGAGGGAGGGAAGGAAGGAAGGAGGGAAAGAAGGAGAGAAAGAGGGAAGATTGGCCACAGCAACACGTGGCGGGTAAAGGTTGTTATTTCTATTATTATTATTATTATTATTATTATTATTATTATTATTATGCTATTGTTCCTATGAGACCCTTTTAGGGGGAATGGGAGAGGTGTCAGGTCCCAGAGGCAATGCATTGCATTATTGTTATTGTTATGATGGTGGTAAAATAAAAGGAAATAAAAAGTGAAAGAAGGAAGCAAACAGGGAGGGAAGAAAGGCAAAGGAAGAAAGGGGGAGGGAATGAAGGAAAGAGAGAAGGATGAAACCAAGTAGTGAAAGAAAGAAAGAAAGAGGTAGAGAAGGAAGAAAGGAGAGAAAGGGGGAGGAAAAGGGGGAAGGAATAGGTAGGTACCTCTCTTTCATAATAGTCCAGATATCTACCTCAACTTTGATAAGTTTTACTATAGGCCACAGCAACGCGTGGCAGGGCACAGCTAGTAATAATAATAATAATAATAATAATTTAATTATGATGGTGATGATGTCTTCGGGCAGCAAGCAGTCAAGTGCCAGTCAGCACCACCACCCAGACCCGGGATGTCTCTGAACCTGTCTCTTTTTCTTACCTTTCCTTAGAGAACAAGTTCCTGGTGCTAATGGAAGGGAGCCTGGTGCAGTGTCGCTTGCAGCTGCACCCACCCTTGGAGACTGCCTATCACCTCCTCCCTGAGAACGTCCCTGTTTCCGCCTGGCAGGGCATCCCCGGCGTCTTGGCTTCCCATGAAGGTATCTGTCTGCAAGATGTGAAAGTTTGCCATCTCTGAATCCTTTTTTTCCATGCTTAACTCTGGAAAGAATGTGTTGCTAGGGAGCCTGAACAGGAATTGCCACGTGAGCATCTCACATCAGGGATTGCTCTATATGACACTACTAGCTGTCCCCTGCCATGCGTTGCCGTGGTCCAGTCTGGTGATCAGGAAAATAAAGTAATGAGAAAGTGTTGGTTTCTAATATATGTAATTCCTTTCTGCTTGTGAGGTAAACAGTATTTCTTGTTGTTTCTTTGTCAGTGTTGATGTGGAGAGTGTCTGGTTTGCCTACTCTGGAACACGCAACATATCATAGTCCTTCTTCAGGGGTCCCTTTCAAATCTATCTCTCTCTCTCTCTGTGTGTGAGAGAATCATATCTATCTATATATTGATGACTGGATGGTTCTTTGTCAGGAGGGCTCTGATTACATTTTCTTGCCCTGATGAAGGGAGTTGGACTGGATGGCCTTAAGTATGTTCTGTTGGTCATGGAAGTCCTGTTTGCCACTTTGGTTCAATTCCATCATTGGTGGGTTCAGAATGCTCTTTGATTGTAGGTGAACTATAAATCCCAGCAACTACAACTCCCAAATGTCAATGTCTATTTCCCTTAAACTCCATCTGTGTTCATATTTGGGTATATGGAATATTCGTGCCAAGTTTGGTCCAGATCCGTCATTGTTTGAATCCACAGTGCTCTCTGGATGTAGGTGAACTACAACTCCCAAATCAAGGTCAATGCCCACCAAACCCTTCCAGGGTGTTCTGTTGGTCATGGAAGTCCTGTATGCCATGTTTAGTTCAATTCCATCATTGGTGGAGTTCAGAATGCTCTTTGATTGTAGGTGAACTATAAATCCCAGCAACCACAACTCCCAAATGTCAAGGTCTATTTCCTCCAAACTCCATCTGTGTTCATATTTGGGCATATGGAATATTTGTGTCAAGTTTGGTCCAGATCCATCATTGTTTGAGTCCACAGTGCTCTCTGGATGCAGGTGAACTACAACTCCCAAACTCAAGGTCAATGCCCACCAAACCCTTCCAGTATTTTCTGTTGGTCATGGGAGTTCTGTGTGCCAAGTTTGGTTCAATTCCATCATTGGTGGAGTTCAGAATGCTCTTTGATTGTAGGCAAACTATAAATCCCAGCAATGACAATTCCCAAATGACAAAATCAAAAGCAATATACAAATACTGTAAATAAATAATAAATAAATTTCAAAGGCAAGAAAACAGCAAAGGCACTTAAAACAGGAATCAAACAAAGACAAAGGTCCAGGAACTTGGCATGAAGAATTTATGAATCCAGTGTTGCTTCATCTGAAGCTAGAATCAGTACTTGGCACTTATATCCCTACTTTGTTTCCCAAACAGCTAAGAACGGATTTTTCCTTAACTTTGATTCCACTTCTAGCTTCTGCTCTAATCTGGCTGAGCGCCTTAATTTCTGATTTGCTTGTCTTTGCCTGCTAAAAACACTTCTTCCGGGTTGTTGTAGTTCTTTCGGGCTGTCTGGCCATGTTCTAGAAGCATTCTCTCCTGATGTTTCGCCTGCATCTATGGCAGGCATCCTCAGAGGTTGTGAGGTCTCTTTGCCCAACTCCTTATCTAATGTTGCAGTTTCTGGCTCCTCTGACCAACCTTGAAGCCCTGCACTTTGCAAGTCAGCATATTGCAAGGGGTGTGCAATATGGCCATGTTCTAGAAGCTTTCTCTCCTGACATTTTGCCTACATCTATGGCAGGCATCCTCAGAGGTTGTGAGGTCTCTTTGCCCAACTCCTTATCTAATGTTGCAGTTTCTGGCTCCTCTGATCGACCTTGAAGCCCTGCACTTTGCAAGGTCAGCATATTGCAATGAGTGTGCAATATGTCCATGTTCTAGAAGCATTCTCTTGATGTTTCGCCTGTGTCTATGGCAGGCATCCTCAGAGGTTGTGAAGTCTCTTTGACCAACTCCTTATCTAATGTTGCAGTTTCTGGCTCCTCTGACCAACCTTGAAGCCCTGCACTTTGCAAGTCAGCATATTGCAAGGGGTGTGCAATATGGCCATGTTCTAGAAGCATTCTCTCCTGACATTTTGCCTACATCTATGGCAAGCATCCTCAGAGGTTGTGAGGCCTCTTCGCCCAACTCCTTATCTAATGTTGCAGTTTCTGGCTCCTCTGACCAACCTAGAAGCCTTGCACTTTGCAAGTCAGCATATTGTAAGGGCTGTGAAATAAGGCCATGTTCCAGAAGCATTCTCTCCTGACTTTTCATTTCCATCTATGGCAAGCATCCTCAGAAGTTGTTAGGTCTCTTCTCCCAACTCCTTATCTAATGTTACGGTTTCTGGCTCCTCTGACCAACCTTGAAGCCCTGCACTTTGCAAGTCAGCCTATTGCAAGGGGTGTGCAATATGGCCATGTTCCAGAAGCATTCTCTCCTGACATTTCACCTGCATCTATTGCAAGCATCCTCAGAGGTTGTGAGGTCTGTTGGGAACTAGGAAAATTGAGTTTATATATCTGTGGAAGGTCCCGGGTGGGAGAAAGAACTCTTGTCTGTTGAATGTTTCAATTGGCCACCTTAATTAGCATTTGATGGCCTGAAAGTTTTTAGATGCAGGCAAAACGTCAGGAGAGAATGTTTCTAGAACGTAGCCATAGAGCCCGAAAAATCTACAACAACCCAGTGATTCCCGCTATGAAAGCCTTCGACAATACATGACTCCATCCTTCCTTGTCAACAAATGTCCCTGTTTCCATTATTAAAAGCTCATTGACTGCAACGAGCTTTTAATAATATGCTATTTGGCTGATTTTTTTTATCTTTTTTCCTTTTCAATGGATTTTGTTTTTAAAGTGTCTTAATTCTGTGGAACAAAAAAACAAGACGACAAAAGCCTTGATCACAGATGATTTGCATAGCTTTCAAGTGGGATGATAAAGACATCAAGCTCGCTAAAGATTTCCTGTACCTTGGCTCAGTCATTAATCAAGAAGGAGACGAGTCGAGAAGTTCAGAGAAGACTTGGAGGGCAGCTGTGAAGAGACTTGGCGAGATCCGCAAGTGCAGAGATGTAGCATTAGGTGGAAAAGAGTAGTAGAGTTGTGTGTCATCTGCGTAGAGGTGGCACCTAACTCCAAAACTCCGGATGACCTCTCCCAGCGGTTTCATGTAGATGTTAAAAAGCATGGGAGACAAAAGTGAGCCTTGCGGGACCCCACAGGTCAAAGGCCAGGGGTCCGAGCAGGCGTCTCCCAGCTTCACCATCTGGGATCAACTCTCCAGGAAGGATCAAAGCCACGACAAAACCGTGCCCCCGAGACTCATCCCAGAGAGTCGTCCCAGAAGGATACCATGATCGATGGTATCGAAAGCCGCTGAGATGTCCAAGAGAACCAACAAGGTCACACTCCCCCTGTCCAGCTCTCTATGGAGGTCATCCACCAAGGCGACCAAGGCCGTCTCGGTGCTGTGGCCAGGCCTGAAACCAGACTGTGACTGATCTAGGTAGTTGTTGTCATCTAGAAAACCCTGGAGCTGGAAGGCGACCACCCGCTCCAGCACCTTGCCCAAGAAAGGGAGGTTGGAGATTGGTCTGAAGTTGTTCAGCACCGTGGAGTCAAGGGAAACCTTTTTTAAGGAGTGGACGAACCACCGCTTGTTTCAGTTGGGATGGAAAGACCCCCTGCTCCAGAGATGTGTTAATGATCAACACAAACCAATCTACCAACCCCTCCCTGGCCGATTTAATTAGCCAAGACGGGCAAGGGTCTAGAGCTGACGTGGTCGCCCTCACAGCACCAAGGACCTCCTCCACGGTCTCAGGAAGAACAAGCCTAAAAGAATCCCACAAAATTGGACAAGCAGATGCCTCAATCACCTCCCCTGGAACTGTGGTGAAATTGGAGTCCAGCTCAAGACGTATCTGAGCAACTTTGTCTGCAAAATGGTGTGCGAACTCACGACACCGAGTTGCTGGGTCATCGAAGGTCTCCTCAACCACCGGTGGGTGAAGGAGTTCCCCGACAACCCGAAACAACTCCAACGATCTATTTGCTGCAGACGCTATACGGGTAGTCGTGAAAGACTCCCTGGCTACCTGTATAGCCACGGAATATGCCTTAAGAGAGGCTTTAGCCCGTGCTTGATCAGACACGTCTCGAGATTTCCTCCATTTGCGCTCTAGCCCCCTTCTCGTGTGTTTCATCATAGTCAACTCCTCGGTGAACCAGGGAGATGGCCTGTCTCGACGCAACGAGATGGGGCGTTCGGGAGCGATCGTATCTATCGCCCTGGACATCTCCCTGTTATAGAGATCAACCAAGGCGTCGACAGGATCGCCAGGCTCCATGGCAGTAAAAACCCCAAGATTCCTCAGGAATCCATCCTGGGGCGGACCATCTTAATTTGTCCTCCACCCCTGCGGAGGTGAAGGGCCGCAGAAAATCTAAAGCTGATGAGATAATGATCAGACCATGACAAAGGAAGGATGTTTTGTTCTTCCACTCTGATCATTTCACTGTCCGCCACAAAAACTAGGTCAAGTGTATGTCCTGCCTGATGGGTGGGTACAGATATAACTTGTGAGAGCCCCATGGTCGTCATGGCGGCCATGAAGTCCTGAGCTGCTCCAGTCAAAGAGGTCTCAGCATGGACGTTAAAATCTCCCAACACCACCAGGCGCTGGGACGCCAAGGCCGAATTGGAGACCACTTCTGCTAGCTCAGGCAGGGAAACTGTTGGGTCGCGGGGTGGTCGGTACACCAGCAGAAACCCCAAGCTGTCACGGCTTCCCACCCTCAGGTGAACACACTCGAACCCAGGTGATTGCGGAACAGAGCATCTGACCACGGCGATGGATTGCCAATAGACTACTGCGACCCCGCCTCCCCGCCCCCCTGGCCTGGCCTGCTGATGCACTCCAAAACCCGGTGGGCACAGCTGAGTGAGATTTACTCCCCCCGGCTCGTCCAACCAGGTCTCGGTGATGCAAGCCAGATCCGCCCTCTCATCCAGGATCAAGTCCCGAATGGCAGCGGTCTTTCCATTGACAGACCTGGCATTGATCAGCAGAACCTGTCTGTCA